TCTCTCTCTCTCTCTCTCTCTCTCTCTCTCCCTCCCTCCCTCTCTCTCCATCTTATGTGTAGGTATGTGTAGGTTAATTTCAGGTTTCTTCCTCTACCACTGCCTACCATACAGGAATGAACCTCCATTCCTGGATTTAGGTGGGTGCTTGAGATCTGAATTCAGGTGCATGTGCATCCAACCAGTGTGAAGGAGAAATATGGTTTTCAGAAAGAGATTATTCCTACCCTTTGTTTAATGGCATATTTCACAGTAACCAGTTCCAACAGTATCCTGTACCTAAATCTACACTCTTGCCACTTAGATTTCATCTTTGAAATTTTTGCCAGATAGTTAATAATTGTGGGGGTTTTTCTTAACATATTTTGGTTTCTCTAAACAGCTATGTCTTAAAGAAATCTCCAACACACCATTAAAATGACTTACAGTAATCTTCCTTAATCTGACATTTGCCTGGAAATTTCCCTTTTTGCTCTTACTGACTAGACTGATTATATTCTGAATTCATGACATTTTGTTTATTAGTTTTCTTCGGTATTTGGTGAGACACATCCTGTAGTTCTTTTTAAAAATAAATGCATGAGAGATCAAATATTTTTAAATATTTTGTCTGAGAATGCCTTTAGTCAAGCTCCACGTCAGATCTACAACTTGACTGGAGAAGCTCTCGATAGAAATGACTTCCACTCAGAGTGTTTAAGGCACAGTTCCACTGTCCCCTGACTTCCACTACTCCACAATTACTCTGAGTCACAGTCCTTTGCATGTAACTCTTTTTCTCACTGAAATTCTCAACATCTTTTCCACTGAGTTGTCATTACATGTATGTTGATGAGGGTCCTTTCTGACTTTGCTAGTCTTGCTACTGAGCAAACATTTCTCCTCTGCTTGTGTTTTCTCCAAGTAAAGAATTCAGCAGAGAATCATAGAGCTCAACAGGGCATTCTGACCATTAGGAGACAGAGCTACAATACATAGCTGACACACTGTCCTTTGCTTCCTTGTGTCCAACCCTCTGTGTAATAAGAGATACAGTTACCAAGATACAGGAGCACTTTTCCCTGACTGCCTCACATCTAACTCCTTGCCTAACAGCTCTATTGCCCCATAAGGGAATATGGACTGTCATAATCTCACAAGGGGGAATAAACACGTCAAGCTGAAGACCAACATAGTAAGTTAAGTTGTGGCTGCGAGGCTGTTGGTATAAGCAACAACTGAATTTACTGTCTCCAATGTCTAAAGGAAATTTTCTTCTTTGTAATTCAGTGAAGACTGTGATATCTCAAGGTCTTGGGGAATTGGGGCAGTACTCTGTGTGTGTGTGTGTGTGAGAGAGAGAGAGAGAGACAGAGAGAGAGACAGAGACAGAGACACGGAGAGAGACAGAGAGAGAAAGATTTATATTAGTGTATGTTTGGCTGAGTACATTTGTGTGTGCAGGTAATTGTGCATGTATGGCACATGCTTGTGGAGGCCAGAAGTCAACCTCAGTTGCTGTTTCTCAGAAGCAATCCACCTCAGTTTCTGGAGACTGCATCTCTTATTATCCCAAGTTTAACAAGCCAGCAAGCCCCAGGGATCCATGTTTATCCACTTCCCCAGCTCTGGGATTACAAGCATGAGACGCCACACCTGATTTCTTCCTTAGCTCCTAGGGATCAAATTCAAGGTCATCTGCTTATTCTGCAAGCATTTTACCAACTAAGTTATCTCCCCAGTCTGGAGGTGGGTCAGTATTGTTGCATAAACATTTGAAGTCAAAAGCTGTTGAATTCTGCAAGAAATATATCTGGTTAATGACTGAAGGAGACTGGGACAAAAAAAAAAATCTCATAGCAAAATATTCTATTTGAGGGTTAAAAAGTACTCACTGTAGCCATATCTATTGAAACAATGACTGGAGAAACTAGCAGAAAGAGGAAAAAACAAAGCTGCAGGTGTGGCATAAAAGATGTCCTGCCTTAATGAAGAGAGCAGGAAGGCAAGGGCCAAAGGGAAGCGGGGAAAAAAATATTGTTTTCCCAGAAGCCCCAATGAGGCAGAAGAAAATCAGGATAGGAAACAGATTTGCATAGGATTAATTAGTATGCACTGGTTGTTCTCTGATGTCAGAGGGTCCTCTGGTATCTGAAACTTGAAGGAGTTAAGAGAGATGTTTTGAAGAGCTGGGTGAGGTTGAGGTAATGTACATTGAGCCTTAGTGTGACTATAATAGACCCAGCAGTGATGGAGATTTTCTCCAGAAAGAATGGAAGAGGCATTTTTATTTACTCAAGGCCTGACAAATTAGTTTGGAAGGAAGAAAAGAACATCTTGAAACAATTCTATGGCGAACAAGAAAGGGTTTGTCTGGTAAGGCACAGAAAATGGTGAACACAAATGTTATCAAGGTATTGCCCATTTGGAAAATTACAAATCAGAAGCTATGCATCACAGATCCATAGATTTGTTGATCTGAAGTTGGCCCTTGGGGTCCCTTTTGAAGAGGAATTTTAAGTTCTCAATCAGATTACTGATGCAACAGGACTCTTGATCTTACCTTGAGTGCTTTCTGCAAACTAGAGTCTTATCTTGGGCTGGTAAACCCAGTTAGTAATTCTCTGGAGTTTAATAGTTGATCAAGTACTTAATAAATAAAAGTCTCTTAAATTCCCTTTGAAATAGGCTGGTGCTGGTCATCTCTATGACTGTCTTTGTAATCTCTAGGAGACCAGGTCTCCCTACCGGAATGGATCAGGATGTGACTCCTCATTGGAGGCTGGTATAACTTCATTTTGTAATATTACTAATTGTTTTACTCATTGATTATATTTTCTTATTCAGTATTCAAATGTAGCTTTTTTTTTTTTTTGCTGATAAGGTCATTTGCATTTACCTCTAACAGTGGCGCCTTCGCTGGGATATGACAGGGTCCTCTTAACCTTGTAGCTTCCCATAAATGAAAAGGATACATTTGCCTCTTCAGTAACTCTCCTCTTCCCAAGACCTGTACAGTGGCTAGGATTTTTCTGGTTTGAGCTTGCCTGGGACTTATGCATGCCTTCACCATTGCTGAGTTCATAAGAATATCTGACTAGTTGTCCAGAAAACTCTGTTTCCTTGTGGTCATTTACCACCTCTGGTGCATATAATCTTTCTGTCCCCTTTTCTACAATAATCTCTGAACCTTGGGAGGTAGAAGTATAATACAAAGATCCTATTCAAGGATAAGCACTCTGAAACCATTTGTTCTCTACAGGTTGGCCAGTTGTGGGTTTCTATGAAACTTCTCTGGTGAGAGTTGAGAGATGCATTAATCTATGGGCATAACAATAAGTCATTGAGGGTCAGTTTAGTATGATAAGTATTTAGTAGAAAGCTAGTATTGGGGTCTCCCCTCTGTTCTGTGATCTGAGGGTCCTGAGCTTGATATCCATGTCAGGTATGGGCTCCAACCTAGGAAGTAGACCTTAAATCCAATTAAAGACTGGTTTGTTACTTCCCTTATATTTGTGTCACTATTGCACCAGTGGGCATATCTTGCCAGGCCAGTTATTATTGTAGTTCACAGGATTCACAGCTAGGTAGGGTTGATGATTAATTTTTTCTTGTAGTAGTATGAATAGCACCTTCCAGCACAATGTGTACTAGCCAATAGAGGCGAGGTTCTGAAGTCAGCACCAGCTTGGTTTCTCCCTGTTTGTTCTACAGCTCATGTATGTATTGTCTTCATCTGTTGCTTACCATCCATTTCTGGTGGGTAACCAAGAACAGGGGCAATGGCCAGTAAAATTCATTTCTTAGCCCCAAAATTTTAACTTTATTAAATATGTATGCTCATATCCTTCTTCACGTTTTTCTCTTATTTACTGGCTCCTTTCTATCATATTTCCTTGTTAGTATATCAAAATACTCAGTAGTAAAAATCTAGTCACAATACAGAGAGCCATTACATATTTATCCATGTTTTAAAAGAGGATTGTGTTCGAAGTACATTTCTAATATAATGTAACAATCTAAGGTTACTTGTTCAAACATTGTTAAACTTTCATATTCTTGTCTGCAGGAGGTCCAACCCAGACTTTATTGCTACAGAGATATTTTTTCGCTTTTTAAATTCGTTATCACATCTTTAATTATCATTTACATTCGGGTGTACATACTGAGCCTTTTTTTTATGGTCAAATTAGGAGTCCTTTATTAATAGCTGGTGGTCAGAGAAGGGGTTAATGCCCCCCAAAGAACTCTTGACCCCAAGGAGAACCAAGACAGGGTTTATAAAGTGTAAAATCATGATTACATTATGCCAGAAGCAAAGCCAATGTCCACAGTTACATCAAGCCACCATAGTTATGCCAGACCAAGGGCAGGTAAGTTAACAAAGAGGTTTTCAGCTAATTAAAAGTTTTGATTAGGAAAAAACAAGTTTCTCAGAACAATGGGCTCCATGGAGATGTGGGTATAGCTGGGAGAGAGGGTGTGCTATATGGACATTCTACCTGGATACTTATAAGTTTCCCAGTAGTGTAGAAATGATGTACTCCCTGAAACTACCCACATGCGATGTTCTGCCTGGCTGGCTGCAGTGGAAATGGCTGGGAAAAAACGCAGAGTAAAACAAAAGTCAGCTAGAGGAAAATGGAGTTATTTTTGTCATTTCAAAATAATTCCTTCCCTACACACTAGCCATGTGCCCTTTGCATGGGACATTTCCTTTTCCCTTTCTCTTATGATT